TTATAGGTAAATAAGTGCATGCTAAAATACACGAGGTAATGTATAAATAGAAATAAATTTTTAAAGTTTAAAATAACTCCATTTCTTGTTTTTTCAATCTTAACTTCGATGTTTCATTTCGATTTATATATTCATGTACAAGCATGAACAAATTGTTAAGTTCACATGTACTAACGAATTGTTTAGAGGCCCTCCCCTTAGCCAAGGGTGTGTAACCTCCTCAGCCAAAGAGATGTATTTCTATATATAATTGGGCCTTAAGTTTTTATGGAAGATATATTATAGGTGAACAAGAGCTTTAATTTATGAGGTTATAAAGTTGCATACTATTAAAAAAAGTAACATTGGTAATGAACCATTTTTTCACATGAAAAAAAATAAAATATTGTATCAAAAAATAAATATAGATTTCTATATTTCCACAGAGACCACATTCAAATTTCACTCTTCCCTATAGGTCCAATTTTATAACCCATACCAAGACTCCGAGGGGCTATACACCAGGCTGTAGGTTGGGTCTGGGTCTATTGCCAGAAAAAAGTGGTAGATTTGTGTCCCCTTTCATAGGAATGGATATGAAAAAAGGGCAAATTTCTACTTAATACTACTCGGCTACTCATCCGAGTTCCATACATTCTCATGTACCCCAGTGGGAACTCGTCTTGGCTGCTAGCCAATTCTGGACACCGGCGGGTTTTCAAATGCTGCTCGTATCACATTGATTATTATAAGCATGGAATATTATAGGGTGAGAGTAAGGCAGCGCACCTTTAATATGTAGTTCTGGTAGTGGTGTCGGGAACTTTATAATTACTTAAAAATCTATTTTCATCTCTATTTATAAAATTTAAAATTTAAAAAATAATATAGATCGAGCAAATTTATAAATATTTGGTAATATAGAAATAGATAGTTTAGGTAACTTATTATAAAATATATTATTTTTAATATTTGATTTCTTTTTTGTTTTTTTTTTAATATCCATACATCTTGACGTCGAGATGGTTTCCTAATATCTGAACACTCTCTTGTATAAAATTTTTGAAGTGCACCTTGGTTCAATAGATAGGGTTGCAACCTTGCATAAAGTTTTTTTGACGCCACAGAACACCCGGCTGTCTCATACACCAGCACATACATTTGCAGAAGTTCTTGGATATCAAATATCATTATTTTAGGCGTCATAGGAGTTCCAAGCCTCATTTGCCATGCATTCACCACAAGGTCATGAAAGTGTCATAATAATCAGATTTCTCTATATCCCCCCAATACCAGCTCATCCTTGTTCTTCAAAGAACTACCATTAGAATTGAACTTCATCTCTCCTTCTTTGGGCTCTGTGTTCTCGTTTGTGCTACTCCTTCGGGGAACTTCCCAACACTCTTTTAAGGAAGCAATCCAACCGGTAGCATGCTAATCCACGGGATTAAATTACGTCAACTCCTTCTACAGCTCCATTGAATGTTTTGTTTCTTTCTTTCCACACAATCGCTACTACCGTGGATGTTTATAATATCATTTTGTATCGGAAAGTAGGAATTTGCTGCTAAAGGAGTGTTTATGAAAAGGCCATGCAACAGTAAGTGGCTACCAAACTCTGCATCTCGTTTGCGCTCTAGCTCATCGATTGTGTGCAATTTGCTGCTAACAAAATAGCCAAATGAAGGCCTGCACCTTATGTGGTGTCGGAAGTTGCCATGCTTTGTTAGCTGGCCCTATTCACATATCTCTATCTGTGGTTTTATAGAAGTCTGTAATTCACTAGCTGCCTCTTTGATAAACTCCTTTTTTTTCTCTCTTTTTTTTGTCTCATCACTTGTGCGTTTGTACGTGTGTGTGGATTTTCTCTTCTTCAATTCATGGACAACTTTATGTCTGTATGGATTCAGGTCTTACATCTAAAGGGAGACAGGCAAGACTTTGAATTTGTGAAGACCACTCTCTCTTCTTCAGACTTTGAGATTGTGTATGACATAAATGGTAATGTCTATGAAATGTTCACCAAATATGAGAATCAATCAAAATTCAAAACATCATTTTCATCTAAAAGGAAACGAAGCCTTTTTATCTTACTCTTCTTGGTTATGTAAACTTCATTAGGTCGAGAAGCTGTAGAAGTGGAACCCATATTGGATGGCCTACCTAAGCTAGAACAGTAAGCCCCGGCTGCTCAAATATTTCCAATTGGGAAGATTTCTTTAGGAAAGTTCATGCTTATCGTTCCAATTGGCAAGCATTTAAAAATGGGCTACTTTTCCTTTATTTATTCAGGTATATATACTGCTCCTCTGCTGGTGTATACCTCAAGTCTGACCTGTTGCCACATTTTGAGGTGATTACAATGATTTTCTTTCTTCTTAATTTCTGAATTTTGGTTGCATTTTCATAAACAATTATCATCCTTTTTATAATCTCTCTCTCACACTCTCACATTAATAAGCCATTTATTTATTCTTATGTAATTTAATTGACTTAGCCGACATCAAATGGTTTGGGAAAAGGCTCTGATGAAGATGCTAATTTAATTGACTTATATCTGCACCTAATTGTACTTCTTACACTTTCCATAACTCCCATCTATTTTGTTTATAGTTTTTATTTGTGGTTCTTACTTGGTTTTCATTTTGCAAGCTATATTTGACATTTTCAAATGCTCACATCTATACAAACTTTTATTTGTTCAAATTTACCTTCCTAATGCTTCTATCTTTGTCTTTCATTTTCCTATTTTCTTACAAATTTCCTTGAGTGCGAGCTACCCAGTTTAGTTTTGTATTTACATTTTTATTAATTTTTGTTTTTATGGTGTAGACCGATGCAGTTGATCCAAAGAGTAGGCACAAGGGGAAGCTTGAAACAGAAATTTTGTTAGATTCAAGAGATGTGAATTGGACATCAATTAGACCTGTGTATATATATGGCCCTCTTAATTACAATCCTGTTGAAGAATGGTTCTTTCATCGACTCAAAGCCGGCCGCCCAATTCCAATACCCAATTCAGGGATACAAGTTACACAATTAGGTCATGTTAAGGTACGTAGTTCTATTTTTGGCGAACAATATGCATTCATACAATTTGTATGTTGGTTCCTGTAACTAGCAAACTGAGGTCTTAGGTTCAAATCCCAGCTTGAAAAAATATTTAAGGTCTTTCTTCTTATGTTCAGTTTCTTATATATTTGGCAATATGAATATATTGTTGTGTTTTATTTAACCAGTCTTTTTTCAAGGACATCACTCCATCCAACATAGAATAAAAGAATGTTTTCCTACAATTATTTTCAAACTATTGTTATAATTTTCATAGGAGATTGAGTAATAACATGTGATTGATTCAGGACTTGGCAAGGGTTTTTGTGACAGTCCTTGGTAATCCAAAAGCAAGCAAGCAAGTCTACAATATATCCGGATCAAAATATGTGACATTTAGTGGTTTAGCCAAGGCTTGTGCCAAGGTAATTATTCAAATCACATTTGAATGTTTACATAAAATTTCTACCAATTTATTGATTTTATATAAATTATTGATTTGTACAATAATCACACCCTTGTATCCTATTTTTTACTTTTGATTGCCCCTTATCAGGCGGGTGGGTTTCCAGAACCTGAAATAGTTCATTACAATCCAAAGGAATTTGATTTTGGAAAAAAGAAGGCATTCCCCTTTAGAGATCAGGTATGATTTTATTTGAAAGACTCTTCTTTTATAGAGGAAAAGATAATATCTTTCTTTCTATTCTTTCAAAAAATATTATAATATAATTCTCACGACTATGAAAATCCATGTCATGAGGATCATCTCTGTGCAATCAACGGTTGGACAATGATTGTGATGGAATGGAACCCCCTTGGGGGGTGCGATTCTCTCTCCATCATCCTCCAACCGCTTGATTCAGCATTGATGACCATTAGATTTTCCATAGTCATGAAGATCATAGTATGCTTTGCCTTTCTTAAGAAAAACAAAAATAAAAAAATTGAATTCCACTAGAGGTGAGAATCCATGAGAACCACAAATACACATGCATATTCACATATGAAACTTTGAGGTGTTCTCTCTCTCTCTCTCTCTCTTTCTCTCTCTCTCTCTATATATATATATATGTGGATAAACCTTACAACAACTGGCCAGCTATAATGAATAGTGTATAGGTGGAATGGGAGCCTTTAGAACTTCATCATGTGATTCAGAATGCATATCATTATTTTAATTTTAATTTTTTATATAAATCTGATTAATATAAGATTTTGGGTGTATATACTTAACACTATTTCGCACCATATAAAAATATAAAAAAATTATTTTCAATAATTTAAAATGACCAAACTACCCCTGTCATTTTTCAGGGGTATTTAGGTCATTTTATATTTTGGGAAATATTTTTTTTTATAATTTTTATTTGTGCGCCCTATTTTTTAGTACCCATGTCTACAATTTTATTATGATCTGATTTATAGAAAAATAATTAAAATTAAAATAGTGATATGTATTATGAACTGCATGATGAAAATCTGACGGCTCCCATTCCAACTATATTACTATTCATTATAGCTGGCCAGCTATTGTTAGTTTTTCCCTATATACATATATATATATATATATAGAGAGAGAGAGAGCGAGAGAGAGAGACTTTTGCTACTTTGTAAGTGGTGTGCTTGCAACATTTGGTGGTTTGGCCAATTATAACATCAGTAGTTGTCAAGTAAATCGTTTGAATCTAATCATTTTATATATATTATCGGGCCTTGTGGATACTTTTCACCTTACATGCTTCCTATAAAAAACGAATATGAGAACATGGTAAAATCTCATATTCCAAATTGAGTTGTTTTGGTTACCCATATATAACAAAGCAATCTACGATGATAAGGGTAAAACGCTATCTTCTGAGACTTCTGGTTATTCCATGCCTTTATTTTGTTCACTCTATGTCACATGTCTACAAAAGGTGGGTGTGACATTTTAAAATCACTAGTTTTGACTTTCACTTTTCATTTTCTTGGGATTAATTTTAAAAGATGACATTAAGGAGATAGTTTTTACCTTTTTTTTAATATTGGGGTTTGAGATAATAGGTCAAGTTACATTTATATGTATTTCTTTATCTATGTGTGAATGTGGATATATGTTTTCTATATAGCCAAGATATATATGGAAAATGTCAAATAAGGGTTAGGCTTTATGCAAAAAAAAAATGCCTCATCTCAAAACTCATCAAAAATTCAATTCCCAGAATCTAAAAACCTTCAAGTCAATCATCTCAACCTTGACAAGTATGGTTGTGAAACAAAAAGGATTTCAAGCCCTAAAATAATATATATTGTAATACATTGTCTAAAACATCCATTTTCAAATATTCATGGATCCGCAAAATCTTTACTGCTTTTGAACTACAAATTTTGTAATTGGTGAGGAAATCAATTTTAGAGCTGCCATAGAAATTTTGTATTACCTAAGTGTTTCCCATACGCGGTTTCAGAGGGAAGCTTTACTTTTTCTAATAAGGCCTAGGCCTTATAGAAACTGCATCCTAAATTGTGGAAAATTATAGGTGTATTACTTTCAAATCACAAGTCACTTATTCTTTCACTTTGATTTTCCTAAACTGTCTCTCTAAGTATGCTTTGATATTTGAATAGTTTCTTTACATAAGCATCAATCCTTAAGAACCCCTCATTCACAATCCAAATCTACTATAAATTAGCTAGACCTTTTAAAAAAATTGTTTCGTTTATTTAGTATCCAAATCTAGTTTTTAAAAAATAAACTTGGGAGAATAAATAGGAATCAGATAAATACAAAAAAAAAACTTGGATTTAATAAAGAGTTCTATACTATAACTTATGAAAAGGGCTCAAAGCAAAATAAGAATTCTAGTTAAAATAAGGGTTCCAATCAAAATAGTTAATTCATTTTTACTTAAAAAGTAGGTATCTATGTTAGAAATAACTATGAAAATGATTGGAATTTAAGAAATAAACTTAACATGAAAAATTTAAAATTAAATACAAGATAATTATAAATAACTTAAAGTGTAAAATAGTAAAAAAATAATAAATTGAAACTTCAATCTTCTCATTTCTTAATTAGAGTAGGCAATACAATGCAAACACCATTAGCTCGTAGGCATGAATGGATATAAGATCAAAGCCAAAGAACTCAATTCTTTGGTTGGTTATGCAGCACTATTTTGCATCCATAGAGAAAGCCCAAAGGGAGCTTGGGTGGACCCCGGAATTCAGTCTTGTCGAAGGTCTTACCGACTCCTACAATCTAGACTTTGGCAGAGGTACTTTTCGGAAGGCTGCTGACTTCTCCACAGATGATCTCATTCTCAGTAAAAAATTGGTGCTCCAAAGCTAGTCCTGCATAGAGTTGCCACTCCCTCCTCTTTCTCTTCATGTTTTTGGTAAATGTGTTTGGGTTGTATATGTGAATCCATAATCAAAAGTCCCAGTAACTAGGACATCAATGTGATAGATGGCAGCTAAGATCAAGGATGGAGGCTTGCTAGTGGGCTGGGAAATGGAGATTAAAAAAGATTCAAGATGTATTTTGCCTTTTTTTGTTAAAGAAAATAAGGTTCATTTGTTTTAACAATGATAATTTTTCTTTCCTTTTGAGTAAATTTTGAACATGAAAAGTAAATATGTTTTGTTCTTTTTCTCAAAGAATGTATGTCAACATTGTTCTTGCTTTTTAACTAGAGACTACTGTCGTTGCATACGATACAACGGCCAAGATTCGAATCCCAGCTAACCCGAAAACCTAAAAAACATAATGAAGGATGGTTTATAGCTTTGTGCAAGAACTGTAGTGAAGTTTGATGTCAAGTTTCATGCTATTTCAAGTTTGAACATATTACTATATTTTTCCAAAACAGATCGAGTGTTGAAAGGTCCAGGTGTTTATGTTCTCAACTTTTATATGAGGTGTTTCTGTTTTCAGCCTTTTTATGTAAGAACATTTTTTGGTTTTCATCGTTGACTTGCTTGGAGGTGTTTATGTTTTCAGCCTTTTTATGTAAGAACATTTGTTGGCTTTCATCACTGACTTGCTTGGAGCTGCATTTCTTATTAGGCAGATTCCATACAATTGAATTTTCTTATTGTTTACTGTTTCAGGACTTTCCTTGTTTTATAACCAACTTTCCCATTTGTATACTATGCTCCCTTGGGAGCATGGTTTACTTCTACTTGGGAGGATTTTTTCAATCTAAAATTTTGGGAACCTAGATTCATTAGAGGATTATTCTTGAAAGAAAAATTTTGAAATTTGGTTTTTCTAACGCTTAGATCTCCATCTAAAACTTGGATGGTCAATTCAATCTCGAGACACTTTTTTCATGTGCATAGATGGTATTTTTTTTTTTATTGAGGTTAATCTATAGGTTTCGGAGGTTACATCACCAAAATTTGGAGTCCTAACATTGATTCTAGATGGGACTTTACCCAAGGGAGTTAAATATATTTCGGCTTCATCTTTATTGGGTAAACCATTGGATCTCCATTTGGATAAAGATGTAAATAGATATTGTGTGCAAGGGGGTTTCTGGACTGAGGAATGAAACAAGAAACTTCATGGGGTCTTTGATTTTTAAAAATTAATGTCTAAAGGCTCAGACTTGGTAGCTGATTCTCAGGACCAAATGCCAAAATCAAGTTGATAGCTAAACAGATGGTTTACAAAAAAAAAACAGCTGGTTTACCAAATTTGGAAAATTCTCTAAAAATAAAAAGCGATTCTAATACGATTGTTACCCTACTTGTAACTAAGTAAAACACATCTATGCCACATCATCACATCAACAAAAGGCCATTTAAGTGTAAAAAAAATACAACCAAAAACTTGGTAAACCAAGTCAGACTAGATTCTTACCACATTGAAAATAACGGTCATTTATGTGTCAAGAGTATCAGAAATAACTATATAAAAAAGCATATTGACTCGAGTGCATCAGAAAGTTTCAATTGTAAAATGTGACAATTGAGCGGGTTGAATCGGTTTTGAGATTTTCGATGTTCTCCCGAGTTAAGAACAAGTTTTACCGTTTAAAGATGAGCTTCCAAGTCACTCAATGAATGGTAAAGCTGTCATTAAAATCAGTCTTAAAACACTTTCATGTGTATATGATATCCCACATAGGAATTTCGTATATTATTTGTTTATATTTGAGACTCTTGAGACTAGATGTAGTATGCTACAAACTCAGCATCTTCTTTTACAATGAAGTCTCAATTTAGTGTTGATTCGTAGAATATTTTTACTTTCTTTTAAATGAAAATTTACATTTGTTACCAACACGAAGTTTTGTTGATGATCTTTTGCTCTAAATAGACGCCCAGAAAGATTTGCAGAGAGAAGTCCAAAGTCTTTGGGCTGCAGATTTTGAAAGGTGCAAAGGTCAAGGGTTCTTTTTCTTTTCTTTTCTTTTTTTTTTTGATACATTCATAGTGAGAATTGAAGGTGGGACTTATGTTAGGACATTCGCCCCCCTAACTACCAATGCCACGGCCCTATTCCGAAAGGCCTAGGGCTCTAACACACTCGAAGTAATACATTGGTTAATGGTGGATCCGCATGATGTAATTAACTATATAATGTTTTTTTTTTTTTGGTAATTAGTGGGGAAGATGGGCCCCTACGTATTTTTTCAAATAGTTTATGACTCCAACCCCTTTCCCAACATCTATAGAATTTTGGGGTTGTTGTTATATTGTTTTGTTCAGAAGCAAGGCTCGTGATCACCCAACCTTATGAATACTGAATTATGCATCAACATTGTTTGCATGGGAGCTATTGGTGTTCGTTCCATTCGCTATAAGGGATTGTATACTATGAGACCATTTACTTTTGGAAAATGTTTTGATAGGGTTGTGATCCTATCAATATGAGTAAAGCCTTGTCTCAAAACTCACCAAAAATTGTAGGTTTTGGTGTTTCACATCGATCAACTTGGACTTGACCTTTGTAGTTGTGAAAAAATTTAGGATTTCAAACCCTAAATATGGTATATATTGTAACATATTATTTAGACCATTCATTTCTCCCTAAAATTAATTATTTATAGATCCACAAGATTTGTATCATTTTTTTAGCTTCAAATTTGATAGTTGGTGTAGAAAATTGATTCTAGAACTAGAACTATCATGGGGATTTTCAATCCCCATAATGCTTTTCAGATGAGGATTTGAGGTGAGGGTTTACTCTGTTTTCATAAAGCTTAGGCCTTGTGCAAACTACATCTTTTATATATTTCATATTTTCTATTAAGATTTAATGCTTTGATAAAATTATAACTCATCTTTGAACTCCATAATTTTCATGCTTTGATAAAATTATAACTCATCTTTGAACTCCATAATTTTATGTATTCTACGTTCTCTATTAATAATATTTAATAATTTGATACAAGTATGGGTAGTAACTAGAGCCGACATCCCCTTGACACCCACATGAAAATCACTAACCTTAAGAAGGCTCCCGAATAGTGGGGAAAATGCTCTGATGATGATGATAATGGCTCTTGAACCCCACCATTCAACTGCCCTCTTGCATAGCGCAAAAAAGAAAAACCGAAAAAATAGGAGACATAGGAGTAAAACAATAAAAAGAGAAAGTAAGAACACACTTTATAATCTTCTTAGAAAGGACCAAGTCTAGAATACAGCCTGATGGATGGGATTGAGGAGCATATAAAGCACGTCGCAAAATAGTGAGAATCCGACTCGGTAGGAAACGAGATCCCAAGTCCCAAGTCCAAAGGATAGAGTATTTTCGTGCCTCATCTTTGCCATTGTAGGGTAGAAAACTACTACTTAAAAAGAAATTGGACAAAGCTCTGGGTTAGTCAATTTACCTGGATCAAGTACAGGAAATGAAGTCGAGTTACAAGAAAACCCTCCATGGGTTTTTACAAACACTCAATTTGCTGTGAAACAAGTGGAGGTTGTTAGTTTAAATGGTTTTACAAACCAACTCTATCAATTTTTGGTGGTTTGAAGGCAAAACACGAAGAAGTTTGATTTTGTGTCTGATACAACCGTGCCTCTGCACGAACCATATTTGTTCACAGTTTCCATATCTGTTCACATGACCAAGACATAAGTTACAATCGGGGCATACCCTGTGCTTGTAATTGCGTTTAGGATTTTTTTTCAACTATTGTACTTGCTCTCGGAAATCGACTATGAGGAATCAATTCTAGACTTTTTGAAGGCCATAATTAACTTCTTTACCCCATGGGGAAGTCAAATCCCCACTGCCTCATTAAAAGAGAGATGCCATGAACCATTAGATGATGGGGGCACACCACCCATCACCATGGTACTATGATCATAATTTGAATAATCTTTTAGAATTATTAATATGATGTTCTAACTAGATCCCAACAATGTTTCATGTATTCGTCTTTATTGTTCATTCACGAACCATCACTATAATATATGATAAAAGTATCGTACATGAATAGAAAAAACTAAAACCCCGTTTCAATTTTTACTCATTCATTAGCACATTGTTAATAAACGCCCATCACTATTCAGGCTAAGCCAGTAGATTCAATAGTGTTAGAAATTCGTTGATAGAAAATCATATGCGGATTTTGAGGTCTACAAATATAAAATTTGTATTGTGAACAAAATATCTTTTTAAGCGAGAGAAAAACTACGCTTGAGGTACTTTACTGCAAATAACTACAAACTATGTTTATCTTTCAAATATTTCAAAAAAAACTTGAAATTTCTTCCTTGAGTTCAAAAATAGATTCCTAAATCAAAACTAAGCAAAAGGCAAATCAATTTCCCCCCTATATTATCCAAAAGTTTCTCGGACTGCAATTTTGAGAGCTTAAACAAGTGTTTCATTTGGCTTATTTGTATCCTAAAGGTGTATTCACCCAGACTTGAGTTATAACTCATATATAT